CTCGCGAGGGGAAGAGGAGGGGCAGGCGCTGATCTCTTCTCCCTGGCGACCCAGGATAGGACCCGTGGGAACAGCAGGAAGCTATGCCAGGGAGGGTTAGGTTGGACCTTAGGAAAAGGTTCTTCACCCAGAGGGTGGTGGAGCACTGGAACAGGCTGCCCCGGGAGGCAGTCACGGTGCCAAGCCTGACAGCATTTAAGAAGCAATAGGACAACGCCCTCAGCCACATGGTGTGAATTTTGGGGGTGTCCTATGCAGGGACAGGAGTTGGACTTGATGATCCTTGTGGGTCCCTTCCAGCTCAGGACATTCTGTGATTCTCCAGGAGGCATCTCCCAGATGCTGCCTGTCCGAGCCCTCGCCGCCTCCCCGCTGCCATCGCCACTGGTTATTGGTGCAACAAAAAGCCCGTGGGCACCGGGGCATGCTGAAATTCTGGGCCAAAGCCGCTGCTGTTGGGAAACAGCGTGCAGGCAGCACCGTTGCACACGGCGGGGAAGAGCAGCTGGTTCGGAAGGGCCTTGGATCCCGGGGAAACGCACTGACTCCGAGCCCAGGGCAGCCTCCTTTTTCTCACTTGGATGCAGGCATCGGTTGAGCGCAGAAAGAACCAGGCAAAAGCCACCAGCAACGTCGCACAGTCACCCTGCCGGTTCTGGAGGAGGCAGGCAGAGCCTTGGAGCGGGGATGTTTTGGGATCTCTCCAAGGGGAAGCTGATGATCCTGGTATTACCTCCGTTATACACCATTACATGCCTGTTACAGGTGCATTTTAAGCAGCCGTAGTGCCTGCAGCTCCCTTCCCCAGCACCTGGTTGTCTCATCCTCCCTTTGCAGAGTGTGACCGGGCACTGTCCCCCGGGCACTGCCACCACGCTGGGCTGCCGGCAGCGGTGCTGGGCTCTGCCGCTTGCCCGGCTGGTGGCCAAGGAATGGGTTTTACCCCAGCAAGACACAGCGGGCACCAGCCTGCAGGTTCGTGTGACACAGGAGGAGACCGAGCCACCAGCCTGGGCAGGGTACAGTGCTGTGCACCCCCCAGCAGCGGTGCCAGGGCCGGCCCAGGCACCATCAGCTACCAGGAACCTTCCCAAGATGCCCCGGGCTCTGTGTGCAGCTCACAGGCGCTTGGGACCCCAAGCCGCGGCGGTGTCCCCGGCTCTGCCTCCGCACAGAGGTTGGACGGGGGTTTGGGCACAGTAAGCTCTGGACCTGACTGCTTCCCAGCTGGCTGCTGGGCTGGACTGGGCAGCGTGAGCACGGCCGGCACGCCGCACTCAGGATCCGGCTGCCTGCCTGGGCCGTGCAGACGGGCAGCTCGGGGCTCACCCACCGAAGAGAATTTGGGCCCGTGATGCGCTGGGGCTTGGGTCAGGCCCAGCAGGCACCACCTGAGCCTAGAAGTTGGGAGGCTGGACTGGAGACACGACTCGGCGCTGTCCTGGGCAGCACGGAGAGACCCACGGGTTACGTTCTGATACAGCAGGGTCGCGCGATCCTATAGCACACACGGGGCCTCGTTCCCCCTCCTGAGTTCCTCGGCACTCGCCACAATCCCCAGAGCCTGCCCGGTCTCCCCGGGCTGCTATCGACAAGCAGCCACAGCCTCCAAGCGTGCCAGGGCTCCCCAAACTCAAGCCAAAGGGGACCGCTCTCAAACCCGCGGCAGGACGGGCCACTGAGCTGTGCAGCATTTCTGCATGGAAGAAGCAGGAACATGTCCCGCTGCCGGAGCCGTTACCCCGGCTCTGGAGCTGCACAGGACCTGGCAGGTCGCCCTCGTCTCTCGCAAGCGTGCGGGATGTTATTTATCTCCCGCTACAGCCAGAGCATCTACCAGGAGACCTCCAGGGCTGAGCTCTGCTCCCGGGACTGCCCTCGCGTCTGTGGGGAAGGAGACAGACCCAAAACCGTCTCCTCACCCAGGCTCGGGAAATGCCCATTTCTCCCCCTCTGCCAAAGGAGCCTGTGGGGAGCGGTTCCCACCCAGAGATCCATGGTTACTTAATGACTGTACCCTTATCTAATTAAAATTAGTGATTATTAGCCCCCAATAATGTTTCAATACAGGCAGGTCATAAGCGCTAATAATGATTTGTGATCAGGGGGCAGTGGCTGAGACAGAGGCTTGTGTCCAAGCGTCTGTCTGTCACCCAAAGCCACGGACGAGCCTGGGAAGCTGCACGCTAAACAGACACACACGGGTGCAGGGGATTCACGTGAAAAGATGGAAAGTAACAAACCAAAGGGAGGAATCAACCGAGCAAGGCAGCCTTTAGGTCTTACAGCAGCAAGGTGTGGGACTAGAGAGGTAGCTATAGATTTTTTTTTTTAATTCTGTGGAAGCTGGTAGTTGAGCAAATCTCTTTTGTGCCAGAGCTGGGAGAAAGGTAAGAATTACAACATGCTCCCAGACCATCCCTGCCTCCACCCGCTCTGTGTCATCTTGTTAAACGCCAGCGGGAGGGTGGGGTGATCCCTCCACGCAGCAGCGCCTGGCACTGCCGTGCCGTAACGCACCGGAAAAGGTGAGGCACGCCCAGCCCTTGGGGCACCCCCCTGCTTGCCTTTACATGCTCTAAGGGCTGTTCATGCCAGTTTTTGCTCTTCCTCTTGGCCTGCGTACGCTGGGAACGGGGTGGGAGGACAAAGGGATGCAGCAGGCTCCGGGCAGGCCAATCCCCTCGTTGGCATGTACTTCAACACGCGTTTGAGCTTCCCTCCTGGGTCAGTTTGCTGCAGCGCTCCTGGAAGGCGCTGGTGAGGCAGCGGGGCTGGTTCGGTGGCACGTACCAGCCTCCCCGGCCTTGCCCTGCGTTGCTCTCTCAGCGCTGTGCGGTATCGCAGCATCACAGGACTGCAGCTGACAGCCCTCTAGCGAAAAAGGTGACGTTCTTGTCCTGGATCTTATACTGGTAGATCTGGACGACATCCTGCTCTGCCGTCAGCTCCAAGGACACTCTCTTAATTATCTTAATCTGCAAAGGGAAAAGGAAGAGGAATATCATCCCTTCGGCTGCCCCAGTCACAGCATCCTCGCCCCCCACGCCTCTCGCTGGCCTGCAGGGAAGGGAGATCACCAATAAAAAACCCATCCTTCCCTTTGGTGGCAGCCCCAGATGAAAGCCCGGGCAGCAACCGGGCCCCAGCGACCCAGCTGCCCTCCCAGCCCAGAAGAGATCATCCAAGCCAGGCTGAGATCCTCCAACAGGAGAGTTTGGGGAAGCTTCCAGGAACTAGATATTTTCCCTTGTGGCAGGATGTCCCTGAATATCGCCGCAGAAGCGGAGTCGCAGCCGTAAGAGCCCGGGTGCTCCAGCAGATCCTGCTGACCACAGCAAGGCTACTTGTTAGCCCTTAGCCATGCTGCAGACCAGGCTGGTCCTGGGTCGTCTCCCGCAGGGCAGACGGAGCGTGTCTCACCTACCCTTGGGCCTGCAGGCAGTGCTGTACGTGACATTAACACATCCCACCTCTCCGTGCTCTCCCGTGCATTACCTGCCCGTGAACATCCTTGCAGAAGCCGGTCGCCAGCCCCTCTACCCACAGGATCAGGTCGCTGTGATGACACAGGGAGTTCGCAACCAGTTCGTTTTCCTCGTCTTCTGAGTCCTCGTTGCTGTGAACCAGCACCACGATGTTCCCCTGGAAGGAGAGCGCCAGACAGCGATGAGCCCCTGGCTGATTCCCAGTCCGCTCAGGGTAGGGAAGGAGAGAGGGCAACGGGGGCTTGCACAAACGCCCCGCTAACTAAGCTGCTTAGACATCCCCCAGCACGGCACCTGGTTCTGAGCTGAAGTCCACTGGGAAAATAAACATATACGCATCTCTGAAACAGCTTGCTGTATATATAGTATATACCTACACACGCACATATACATAATACACAGCCTAAAAATACATCAGCCTTTGTTACAAGACAGCTGTCGAGTTAAACCGGTCTGTCGGGCCCCACAAATGGCAACTCTCTGAGTGAATTCAGAACAGCTAAATAAAGACGTGGCCAAACGGCTGCAGCCAGAGCTGCGATGCTTGAACCTTCATAGCTCCCGCAAGAAGCAAAGAGCTCCCCAACGCAACACCAGCTCTATTAAAAATACATCCCGAGAGTCTCTGCCTCACCCCATGCAGGTCACCAAGGACTTATAACATGAAATTCCCAATCAATTAAAATGTACTTTAAGGCTTCAGAACATCTTAGACAGAAATAGAAACGTGCTAGCATGATTTATCGTCTTTTTTAGCTGCTTTGGAGGTAAATATTCTCAGCAAGCAGAACATCCCCTGTCAGCATTTACAGCACAAACACCCTGGCACCATACGAAGTGCAGGATAACAAAACCCGACACCGTCTACTTTATTTCTCACTCAAGCAGAGAGAGAAGTGGCCGGGGTGGGGGACGCTGCAATGCAAACAGCAAAGGATGGAAGTGACTGTAACGATTTTTGGCCGTGATGCTCTCAGAAGTTAGCAAATCGCTGGGGAGATCTTTGTAGAAGTGCTGCATCATCACACACCCCTAGAAACCAGCCAGTGCCACACACAGCAAGGCTGAAGATCGGTGGAAGCAGAGACTCGCATCCCCTCGGAGCGAGCCTTCATCTCTGCCCCCTGCCAGACTCATCAGCCCCTCGCTACCTTCGTAACCCCTTTCCTTCCCTGCCCTCCCGCACGCACACAAACATGGGTGTGGGTAGAGGTCTCCGGAGAGCCAGGAGCTCTAAAGAAACAATATTTTACACTTCGAAGCCCTGTTCGCACATCAGGGACAGAGAGAGCCCTTCTCTGGGCAGCACCTCCTGGGAAACCAGTTGCAAAGGACCCTACGCAGGTACTCCAGGGACTGACACAACTCCCTGAGGGTGGCCCTAGAGCAATGATTTTAACTTCTTGGACAGCCAACGCCTTCCAAAACCTCATCATGCACAGGTGGAAAAAGCAAAGAAAGCCAAGCTTTGCTCCAGAGGCTCTTTTGTACATGTAGCTTACAGGACGCAGCATGGGGAGGGAGCAGTACCTTCAGCTGGGAGCACACCGCGACTCTGCAGTAGTGGATGAAGTCCAGCACCGCCACCGGCGTGGCGCCCAGGCTGAGCAGGACGCTGAGGTCGTCCACCAGCAGCACAGGGCCCTTCCAGGAGTCGCTGCCAGCGGGAGTCAGGGACGTCCGGACAAAGTCAAACAAGGCTTTGAGGTTGGAAGCGCTCTCACTGGAAGAGAAGGAGGAGGTCTCAAGGGGCTTGGCTCACGCGCACGTTGTCTGCGCCCCCTCCTCGCCCACTGCCCCAACGCAGGGAACGCCAGGCTGCACCGTCCCTGCTGTCCCCACTGCTGTGGCAGTCACCAGGTCGTAGGCTTCCCTGCAGTCACTGCTCCTTCGCTCGCCTGCGTGCAGTGAAACCCTTGTGCCTGATCCAGGGATCACAGAATCACAGAAAGGTTTGGGTGGGAAGGGACCTTCCAAGGCCATCCAGTCCCACCCCCCGCCATGAGCAGGGACATCTACAACCACATCAGGTTGCTCAGAGCCCCGTCCAGCCTGGCCTTGGATGTTTCCAAGGATGGGGCGTCGACCACCTCTCTGGGCAACCTGGGCCAGTGTCTCACCACCCTCAGCACAAACAATTTCTTCCTTATATCCAGTCTGAATCTCCCCTCCTTTAGTTTAAAACCATTCCCCCTTGTCCTGTCGCTACAGGCCCTGCTAAAAAGCCTGTCCCCACCTTTCTTGTCGGCCCCCTTTCAGCACGGCAAGGCCGCAGTGAGGTCTCCCCGCAGCCTCCTCCTCTCCAGGCTGAACCCCCCCAGCTCTCAGCCTGTCCTCCCAGCAGAGCTGGGCCACCCTCGGAGCATTTCGGTGGCCTCCCCTGGCCCCGCTCCAACAGCTCCATGTCCTTCCCGTGCTGAGGACCCCCGAGCTGGACGCGGGGCTCCAGAGGGGTCTCCCCAGAGCGGGGCAGAGGGGCAGAATCCCCTCCCTCGCCCCGCTGCCCACGCTGCGGGGGATGCAGCCGCAGGGCTGCTCTCCACCCCTCCATCCCCCAGCCTGTGCTGACACCGGGGGTTGCCCCCACCCAGGTGCAGGACCCTGCCCTTGGCCTTGTTGAACCCCATGAGGTTGGCATGGGCCCACTTCTTGAACTTGTCCAGTGCTTGATCCTGCCGCACTCCATCAACACCCACCCACCCAGACCCCAGGGGCTGCAGGGTCCCATGGCACAGGGCTCTGCAGGGTTCCAGTCCCTGCCCTGGGTCTCACCAAAGGCCCATCCAGCCCAGCGCGAGTCTGAAACAGCAGGGAGCCGGGAGCACACAGGAACAGGGCAAGCGCACGGCCGTCCTTGCTCAGACGCTGCCTGACCCAGAGGTGGTACCTTCCAATTTAACAGCCCTCAGTGCATTTTTTTTTTTTTTTCTATCAAATCATCAGGGACATGAAGAAAGTGAAATGGGAATAAAAAGGAAAGCCAGCATAGTGAAAGCAGCACTGTTCTCTTGGATGAGAATAAATCTCAGAATAATAAAAAAAAAAAGGAACAAAACTGCTTGGATGGAATTTTATTTGACACAAACATGTTGAGTGCTGAAATAAATTTTCTCTAGACCTATAACATGCTTGGCAATGAGGATGGAGGCAGAAATCACCCTGAAACGCTGGAGAAGGGGGACAGAATCCCTCTCCGAGCAGCAGGGAGAGACAGGGCAGGATAAGCACCGCAATGTGCACGGCGCTGGCACTTCACTCAGGTGTTGGGCTACCGAGTCCCCGGGCCCTGGAGGGAAGCCCAAAGGGAGCTGGGTCTCAGCTGCGCACTTCACTGCTGCTCTCGGTGTTGGCTGCAGTGGCAGGAGACACGAGGGGGGCAAACGCTCTGTGCGGGGGACCCTGCTGAGCCCCAGCAGAACCACCAACTGGTCAGGTTTACCTTATAAACTGGAGAGGACTGGGCTGTCCTGACTGTTCCTCCTCCTCTCCAAACAAGAGGTCAAGGCAGGACTTGAGGCCTTCCAAGAAGACAAGCTGTCCCCGTTCTTTGGCAGCGGTCAGACTGACTCCCTCGAGAGAGGAAAACATTATGCTGCAGAGCGCACAGCTTTGGCGGAATGGTGCAAACAGAACCAAGCGGATCAACGGCTCATTTTTATCGTCTTATCTAAATGTGCTAATAAAGTCAATGCCTCAGTGACAGGGGATGAAACAGGCGGTTCTGTTACACACGCTGGTGGACACATTCGCTCTCCTGTATTTTTCCAGGATTTTAAAAAAAAAAAAAAAAAGACTAGATGGAGTTGGCTCCAGCTCACTATAGTGTAGTGTAAACCACTATTACTGCCCTTAGAACCCATGTATACCATTGTGCATACAACTGGAGAACACTGGGAGATGGTGAGAGGACTGGGCTGTCCTGACTGTTCCTCCTCCTCTCCAAACAAGAGGTCAAGGCAGGACTTGAGGCCTTCCAAGAAGACAAGCTGTCCCCGTTCTTTGGCAGCGGTCAGACTGACTCCCTCGAGAGAGGAAAACATTATGCTGCAGAGCGCACAGCTTTGGCGGAATGGTGCAAACAGAACCAAGCGGATCAACGGCTCATTTTTATCGTCTTATCTAAATGTGCTAATAAAGTCAATGCCTCAGTGACAGGGGATGAAACAGGCGGTTCTGTTACACACGCTGGTGGACACATTCGCTCTCCTGTATTTTTCCAGGAGTTTAAAAAAAAAAAAAAAAAAAAGGCACTGTGATTTGGGGCTTAAACATCCTGGAATTGCTCCTGGGAAGACAGCAGCATCGCTGCATGGGAGAAAGACAGCTGCTTCCCCAGAGGCAGGGAGAGGATGGGTACAGGCTGCCTCAAGGACCCTCTGTGAGCAGTTCCTTCACCCTCCCTTCTTGGGTGGCAAAAGCCTTTGGTTTTCACTATCTCCAAATCATCATTGCTGTGGCAATAACGACTCCCCGGCACAACCCACACACCTGAGCGAGGCACGGCCCGGATCTGGAAAACGGCGTGGGCTGGGCAACCCGACGCCTGCACAATGCTCAGGAGAGAGCAGCGTGGCCGGGGCTCCCGTGGGAAGCAGCCTCAGCCCTGACTCCCCTTGGGAGAAGGAGGAGGGACCGTGACAAACTGCCTGGGGCCGCGGCTCAAACTTTCCAGCTCTCAGCCCTGCTTCACCGTGAGGCCGACCTCAAGAACCACGTGCTGGGCACGTCCAGCCCCAGCGGAGAAAGCCCTGGCAGGGTCGCAGCAGACGTGCAGAAGACCCCAGCTGGAGATCTAGCTCATGAACTCCTGTCTGATCCTCCTTTCTTTCATCGGGAAGGGTTACTTTTGCCAACCATTCCTCAGCTTACTGGTAACTGCATCAGTCCACCCTTCAGGAGAAAAATTTAGTACCTGTTACCAACACGATCATACAAAGATATTTTGTGCGCGCTATCTTCAAACCTCGGCCAAACCGTGCATTTCCCAGCAGCAAGAAGTGCAAATTTGCTCGCTCTCCAGTGCGGGTTGCTTCCCATATTTCACAACGCAACTGTAATTTCTTAAAATGGAACCAAGGAGCATTAATGCCAAGATTCGCAGCATCTTGGCAGCCTGGAAATAGGGCTGTTGTGCAACGCAGCAGGTAGGTGGAGAAGATGGCGAGATAGACGGTTTACAAAGAGTTCAGGAAGGTTTAGCTCAATGCAGTATTGCTTGACAGGCAGAACTGGTGAGCCAGAGGCCAGGAACCAGAAACAAGGATCCTGAGAAAGCAGTTCCCATATCCCCCGAGAGAAGACATCCCTTTGGGATCCTGCAAGATTTTGCATCCTCCGAAGAGGGTGGCTGAGCAGGAGTGGTCAGGAACAGAGGCAAGTCCTAGGGCAGGAGCCCTTACCTTAAGCCAGGACTGGCTTCTGCCTGGCCACTGGAAGAGGCACACACCAGCAGCACTGGCGCTTTTGACCAGGAATTTTTTAAGCATCACAGAAAATACAGATTTTTACTTCTTTCCTAAGCCATCACGCTGGGAGCTGCAGGACACTTGAGCACAGAGTCTGTCTGAGTCGCCCAGCAAGGGGAAGGCTCGTAGCAGCTCTTCCCCCAGGACCTCGAGCACTGAACAGAGCGCTGTGCTTGGCACTGCCCCAACACCTTCTTCTGAAAAGGCCTTGGAGGTTTTCCAAGCGTTTCCCAGTCCTCACGACACTCCGAGAGCCACCGCGCTCTCTTTGCTCACATGGGAGAGGGAGATGCAGCAAAGCTATATGTCCACTTCTGCCTCCTGCTTTCTGCCCTTTCTTTTCACCTGCTCAACCTTCCTGTTATTCTGACATGAAAATGTAAGTGCCAACATTTCACACCCCCTTTCTCTTCTATTTATTTAAAAAAAAAAAAATTGTAAAGCCACATCTTAAGCATCTGATCAATGAGACGATCCCTACGAGGGCCCAGTGGCCTTGTGAGCGTGGCATTTCCCCAGGAGGACCTCCAGAGAGAAGGTCTGGGTAGATACAGAAGAGGTCCTTTCCAGGAAGATTAACCCTGAGCTCCTGCAAGGCTTATCAGTTGCCACACGTTCACTGCTAATGAGAGGAAAGACAGATTTCCACTGCTTTTCCTCCCAGCTGGAAGGCGAGGGGGAGAGATCCATTCATCAGGGCTGCTGCCAGAAAACGCTGTCTACGGCAATTAGAAAATGGATCAGAGGCAACATCTTCCATCACAGCCAGGGGATACAAGCATCCTTGACTGGCAGAGGTTACTCGGGGGGAAAAGGCCGTCTGAGGCATGCCCACCTCAGATCCAGTTTCTAAATCAGCCCTGAGCTTGCCCCTCTCTTTCCTGGCTTTCCACACGTGCTTCTGGGAGGAAAGCGGTCCCACCGGCCAGGCAAACCCGGGGAAGGAGAGCCTCGGGCAAGGCACCAGCCAGCACTTTTGGACATACTCCCTTTGTTTTCAAGCGCCCTCTCAATAAATAGCACTAACCAGCAAGTGCTGCAGCACACTCTTGCCTCATCTAATCCACATTTTCTCCTCTCTTTTCCCCGTCTCCCAGGCAAGCCAGGAGCAGCAATTCCCACAAATGAGACTCGTGGGGCCCTTTGCTCTCCCTGCCCTACCTCCCGCCAAGCCCAGCAGAGGCTGACGTGGGCTGCAGGCAGAGGGATTTGGCTTTTGCAGGTGATACTTGCTCGCTAAAACCGTGCCAGAAAGCAGGGCAGGAATGGAGCGCTAAGGGAAGCCTCTTGGGCAACTGCAAGCACACACCATGGAAAAATTTCTGGCCAAGGACAGAAGAACCTTTATGTGGCAGGCCAGGAGTGGGGAACGGCCAGCAAATACCTGACGTGCCATAAAGCGGGGCTGGGTTGCAGGGCAGTCCCACAAACCTCATCCCCTGGTGAATTTTTGGAGCCCACAGGACTTGGCACTTGCTGAAATGCTTTGCTACAGCAGTGGCTAAATTCACGATTAACGTCAATAATTCAGAAAATGATTTTAACTTTGCTTCAGCCATTTCTTCCTGCACGCACAAACCCTCTATAGTTCAGATCAGCAAGAAAACAGTGTCCCCTCTTTAAAATACCCAGCAGCTTAGTGCCGTTACACCAGGGCCTGCCTGGATGACAGAGAGAAGGGCCACAGCACACGAAGGCGGCAGGCAGGGGCAGTGTGCTTGTGGGTCAGACCAGGAATTCGATCCCCTCCGTGCCACGATGTTCCTGGGCGGACCTGACAAGCCCAGTTTCATTTTCCAGCTGGGGAACCAGGTCCCAGAGAGGCAGCGTTGGATGGAGACCCGGACTCACCCCGCTGCAGTCATCTGCCACAGCAAACCTCTGCCTGTCTCCCAGCTAGCAGCCCACCTGGTGTCACCTCTGGAAGCAGCCCAGGAAGCACCAGGAAAGCTTGGAGACGGTGGAAAAAGTGCTCAAAATGGCCAAGGGCACCTGCCCGAGTGCCACAGACACTACACACGTCCCTGCTGCACAGCACCCAAACAGCGTGCATTACCAGCCGTGAAAGCTGTCATTATCTCACAGCGCTGCGCTCCATTATCGCTGGGAGCACGCAGACATTATCTCTGGCAATCTGTCATTTATCGATCAAGCCCAGAAATGCTTCTGAAACAGCAGCTCGGTGTGACTGGGGCTGCGAGCTCCACAACGGAGCACAATTGTTCTCGTCCGTCCGGGATGCTGCCAGCCAGGCCTGCCAGCAGTGACAACCCTTCACACCAGCACCGTCGCTCACCGCTGGCCGTTTCATAAGGGAAAGCAAAATATTTGCAGGAGAAAACTAGTAATGGAGCGTGCGAGGCAGCTGTCATAACTGAAACAGCGAATGCGGCCGTGGTACAAAGTGCGACGATCTGCCATCAGGCAACCGGCCAAGGTCTCTTCTCTCGCACCGCTACCTGCAGGGGAAAGCAGAGGTGACCAGGCGATGTCCTGTGGGGACAGGGGAGCCAGGCAAGAGGGAGACCAAATGGGAACAAATATGTTTTTGCTTTAAAACAAAACAAACATTGTACAAATAACGGTGGGAACACCAATATGGCAAGCTGCCCTGGTAGCCTCGCTACGGCCCAGCGTGTTCTCTACAAGGTCATGACAAATAACATTAACTGTCCCTTAAAATTAAGTGCAGATCCTCATGAAAAGAGCGGGATTTGCAGAAAAGGAGAAGTGTGAAGCCAGTATTGCAGAGCCAGCACAGGCACAAAAATCCAGGGAAGCTTTTTCCTGCAGGTAAAAGTACATCACTGCATTTAGCTAGCACATCAGGAACTGGTTCTGGACTGGTAAGACCTGGCAACACTGTGAGGAAGCAGCGCGTAAGGTATGCGCTATTTCAACTATGTAACTACGTATAAATATTCAGTATATCACCATACATCAGGTGCTACAAGGACCAGATCCACAAAACACGGCTGTAAAGGCAGTATAATATGATCCTGGCTCCAGGACCCTTCCTCCCAGGCCTAGCACCACCCCGCTCCCAGCAGAAACAGGAGCATCACTAAGTTATGAAGCTTTTCCAACTGCAGTCTTTCCTAAGTACGTAATCTCCTGCTAGGAATGATTATGCACGGGAGATTTAACCCGTGGATGGGATAACATAACGCAGGTGGCTGCCCACGAGCCAGATTCTTCCAAGCACCTCCCGGAGGAACTATGGCCTGACCCCCTGCAACTCTGCCGGCCAACAGAGCGCCAGCAGCTGGTCCTGGGCTCCCCACCGAGGACGAGGAGGTGGGAAGGGAGCAGCCGGTCGTTTGGGGGAGCATGCAGCTCACCTAACCGCGGCACGACGCAGCTCGGGATACTGCCTGAAACGGGGCTTTGCTGCAGCCACGTAAATGACATCCCGGCTGGTCTCCAGTAGAGATCTACAGCAGCAAATTCTTAAGCAAGTCTAAGAGTGGAACTACCCTGCCAAAAACCACCTTTACTGAGCCTGATGTATTCATTTAGGCAAAGAAGGATTAAAGCAAAAGACGAGATCTTATGGAAACTCGGACAGATATAAATAACTGATGTTACGACCTCCAACTCCGCAGAGCTTAGGAAGAATTCACAACAACCGACTGCACGGGCACTTGTGAAGTTATAATGTAAGACTGACTCAGACTTGAAACCATCAGGACAGGGAGAGCTCATCGCCGCGGGCCAATGTAATCGCTTCTCTGAACTCCCCTGGGCAAACCGCATTGTTGTTCTTATCACCTCCCGTCACGTCAGTAACCTTTCTGTTGAAGCATCAGGCAGCAAATCATTTCGATTTGCATTGCACGTGCGCTCCAGCTAATCCTCGTGTTCTCTCCCTTCTCAGACGCTCCCAGGAGGGAGATGACAACAGCACCTATTAAAAGCAGACGCACAAGCTGTGCACCGGGGAATTTCGCCACATTAGGAAACACACCAACAAACACGATTCTGCTTTTAGAGCAGGCAAGGATCCCATATTTAACAGCTGAATCTCCTAACTACACCCGTTGCTGTGCCCCGTTTCGTGCCCCGCTTAGCAAGTTCCCCCCAAGATTTCCCCCTCTCTGCAACGCGAAGGCCAGAACTATTCAGTGCTCGCAGAGGCTGGTTTGCCCAGCAGCGGGAATTTGCTCTGCAGAGGAATCGCATGCTGAGTATCTGACAGAGTTAAAGCTCCACGTGGAAACACTTCGTTTGCTCAGTTTGTTTTATTTAACTTAGGTCTGAGCTCTCAGACCATTGATCTCCTTTTAAAAGGTAAAAATGGAGTACTAAATAAAAGACAGTTTAGCAAGAACCAAAACGCAACCCACATTTACGGTGGGGAACACACCGTGATTGCAACACCTGGTTCTTCAACACCTGAAAGTCTTTAAAAGCAGCAGCACCACTGGGATTCCCAGCGGAACCAGAGGAGGGAGGACCAGCGCAAGCCCTCATCCCTTCGGCCCTGGGAGGTCACCTGGACTTCACAACCAAGAGATGCAGTTTAAAGCCAGAGCTCAGACTGATTTGCTGACACCAGGAACGACTTTGTTTCTCCGTTTCCTTGTTTCAGGGTACACACAATCCTTGCCTGACTCACCCCGGGAAGGAAATCCGTAAGAACGTACTCAGCACTTGTGGTTCCTCGGACGCTTCACACTGATGGCTTGGCCTGGAGGCCAGAAGAGGCACAGAGGTGTCCTTCTGAATCTACAGGTGGTTCAGCCCAAAGCACTTCATCGCAACATAACCACAGGACAGAAGACAAAGCCACCTCGGGACCTCCTGTGCCGAACAGCCAGTGCACCCCGCAGGCGTACAGAAAGCCCGCAGGGACACAGGCACCACAGGGCTTTTCTCCCCAGAACGCTAATGAAGCTACATCTACCAGTCTGGGCCTGTCTGGGGAATGCTGATCTCTGGAAAACATTTCCAAGCACAAAGAAAGCAAGCAGCCATTCAGCGCTCTGCCCTCTCCTTGTAGCCAGGTTTTTGCCCTATATCACATCTCTCCAGCGAGAAGTGCTCTCCATCCCCTGCCGCAGGAGCGCCAATCCTGACTGTCCCTGTCAAGATCGGGAAACGTTTGCTCACATGCAATTCCTGTTCCCCATTCTCATTCCTTTCCACCCAACAGAAACTACCCGGACCTGTAATTATTAACCTATGCCAAGAGACTTACCAGCTTCTGCGCTACGATGTTATAGTGACTGAAGGACTGGAGCAGGGCCACAAAGCAAACCTTACAGCCAGCTGGGTGAGAAGACAAAAAGACACATTATCATTTCAATTTTGTGAGCTGCCATTATCAAAGCACATAAATCACAACAGCCAGGCTACAAATCTGTCTGGAAAGGCCTTGAAGTGAGACAGACCTAGGCAGCCCCTCGCTTGCTCGTGGCTGGGCTTTCAATTTTCACCTTTCTAGAGGATTTCCACATTAAAAAGAAAGGGAAAGAACAAGAAAAAGATGACATAAAAAAGCAGGAGGCCCTTTTTCTGTCTCGTGCCATCCTGCCCTGGGATCTCCTGGCACAGTTTGCTGGTACTTCTGCAAGGAGGCCAACAGCCGACCGTGACACGAACTACTGAAACCACCAACGTGCCAAAAATCCCTGTTTTGGCTCTCGTAGGGCAAGTGACCTTGACTGGAAAAACACACAGAACAAGCCAGTTTGAGAAAGACACCTCACTAAAATGTGATTTTGGAACACCCAGCACGTGACAACCTGGCCTCGTGGTTTGGGTATGACCAAAATCAGTGTATTTGTTACTCCCTGCCAGAGAGCAGGACGTGGATTTCAAGTGGAACAAGTCAGTGGCCCCAGCTGAGGCGTCACTGACTCCTCGGGAGCTCCCAAAGGTTCTCAGCACCAAGCGGGTACTTGGACAACACAGGGGTGCCACAGACAGCGTACACTGGCAGCCGGGTCCCTGGGTGGAAATGAGAGGGTGACAGCAAGCACACCTGCCTTGAGGTGCAATCCCAATCCCAAAGGGCTTCCCAACCACAAGGCACAGTGAGACTTTTCCCAGGCAGACGGGCAGCTCCCTGCAGCGACTCCCAGGACCTGCAGGTCAGCAGAGCCATGCAGGGATGCGGGCAGGGCTGTCCCTTTGAACCGTTCACACTCTTAGTAACCTGCTCTCCACGGGCTTTCCTGCAGTTTGACTCTGTTCAAGTAAAACCAATTTTTAAAAACAAAGTAAAACCATAGCTGAGGCAGTGGCGGTTACGGGGGGCAGGATGCGCTCAGCCCCGCCACCTGCACAGCTCTCTGAGCTAAATTTCAAGTCTGATGGGTACCAGATTCGCTGGGCTGGAAAGCAGCAAGCTTGCTTTGCCAGCAGAATGCTGGAGGAGCCCATGAGCCCAGCGCCTGCTCTGCAGGGGCTGGCAGGTTACTCACAGGTGAAACTGTTAGCAGAAAAGCAATTAGGCAACTTGCCAGGCTCTTTGTTTGTTTCTTTACTCACTACCAGCTTATCTATTTGTTAGTTGTTCCTGATATTCTTAATTACATTATAAAACACCTAGCTAGTGAAGTAATTGCAGTCAACACCTCACTGTCAGATGCCCATGTGATTTACAACGTTCACTGCACCCATGATGAAACAAGGTGTACAGACATTATGGGATGTACCCGAGGACACAGAGCAAGGCCTAAGAACAAGTCAGGACTGGGATCCATAAATCCTGACCCCAAAGCTTTGCGCTAATCCGAGGATGCCTCACAAAACCAGCCTCTGCTCACACAGCACACGGTATGCTGAAGGAACCTCCAAGGAGTAGGCAAAGGCAAACCCTTGCCTTGGCGAGTCCTGCTGCTGACATACCTCTGAGGTAGAAGGAGAGGAAATGGTGCACCAGGAAGCTGCCGTCTGTTCTGGTGTCTCGCAGCAGCGTGAATTTACCCTGAAAAAGAAGCAGCAAAATAACTGAACAGAGGAAGATGAGGGCATAAACTGCTCCCGGCTCCATCTTGGTAGACAAGATGTCTGCTCAGGCTAGGGAAAACTCTGCAGGTGTTAGTCAGAGAAAGAATCATAGAACCACAGAATGCTTTGGGTTGGAAGGGACCTTCCAAGGCCATCCAGTCCCACCCCCTGCCACGGGCAGGGACATCTACAACCACATCAGGCTGCTCAGAGCCTCGTCCAGCCTGGCCTTGAGTGTTTCCAGGGATGGGGCATCGACCACCTCACTGGGTGTCTCACCACCCTCATTGTGAAAAATTTTTTCCTTGTGTTTAGTCTGAAAACACAGACTCCTTTAGTTTAAAACCATTCCCCCTTGTCCTGTCGCTACAGGCCCTGCTAAAAAGCCTGTCCCCACCTTTCTTGTCAGCCCCCTTTCAGCACGGCAAGGCCACAGTGAGGTCTCCCCGCAGCCTCCTCCTCTCCAGGCTGAACCCCCCCAGCTCTCAGCCTGTCCTCCCAGCAGAGCTGGGCCACCCTCGGAGCATTTCGGTGGCCTCCCCTGGCCCCGCTCCAACAGCTCCATGTCCTTCCCGTGCTGAGGACCCCCGAGCTGGACGCGGGGCTCCAGGGGGGTCTCCCCAGAGCGGGGCAGAGGGGCAGAATCCCCTCCCTCGCCCCGCTGCCCACGCTGCGGGGGATGCAGCCCAGGAGACGCTTGGCTTGCTGGGCTGCCAGAGCACATCGCCGGCTCGTGGCCAGCTTTTCATCCCCCAGCACCCCCAAGCCCTTCTCGGCAGGGCTGCTCTCCACCCCTCCATCCCC